ATTTTTTGCGTAACACTCTGGTAATTCATCTCTAAAATCCATTACTATAAAGCAATCCACCTGAATAAGAGCAGCTAATATGTTTTAAAAAGCGAAAGGGTTCTCATACATTTTTAAGAATGCACTCTTTTGTCTTTGCAAAGGACAGTCTATTGTTATCCACCGCTGAGGTTTAATGGTAGAAAATGGGGCAGCATGAGTAAGTGTGCGTTCTATGTATGTGTGTGCGTGCAGTGGCGGGTGCATATCGAGGCAGAGAGATTGAGAAAGAAAAGGAACGTCTTGCCTTGATTATAAATCAGAAGATGAGTGAGGCATGTCAGATCTATAAAACTGAGCAGTAATGTTAAAATGTCTCACCTGATAATTACCCAGGAGAGAGCAGCAGCGTCTTATAAAGGACCCTTCAGCTTTCATAAACTACGTGGTTGATTTCAGAGTTCAACAAAAAACTATTAAAGAGGGAATTAAAACCTGAGTAATTAATTCTAATAATATAAATTAGCAAAGGGAATGAATTTCCATTTGTTTTTAGTACCCTTGTAAGGTTACGTGGATATATTATGCTATGGTTTACACTTTTCTTTAATCTAACACATTCTTAGATCTGTTACTTCTGAGCAGTATTTAATGCAAACATGTTATCTGCATTGTCCAAACAGGAGGTCTTTTTTTTTTATATCTAAGCCAATTTGAACCACTTAGAGTTACTGTATAACCAAGATAGTACGTGGGACAAAATATAGGTAAAAAAAAGTTTCTTTTACAGGTTGATTCATCAAATTATGTTATGACAGCTAGACAAAGGACTTCTTTTAAATATTTAATTTATCTACAATCTCTGTCCTCAGGTCCAGCGTGTTACTCCACAAAACCAAATTAATACTATTACATAGTTACATTTTATATTTTATTTTCTATCAATTGAACGACAGTCACCTGAAGGTGTTGTATACTGTGAGGTAAAGATCCAACGTCAATACATATCCAATGCAGATTTACTACAAGCTACAACACTGTGAAGTGATGATACTGTATGCATTCATGTAGAATCCACAAGCATGTATGTGAACCTTGTTTTAATGAAAACATGTTTTGTTCAAAATGTCTTGAAAATACTTTATCAGCAATACTAAACTGATACAACAAAAGGGATTAGATTTGAGAAGGTAAAACGTAATTCACTGTACAATCTGGGTTTTGATTGCATGATTGCATGATACAGTAAGTATTTCCTTCACTGTTGAAAAAAAGATGCATGCAATCTTAGATGTTTATATAGAAGTCTATGGGAAAACAACCTGAACCCGACAAAAATAAAGCAAAAGAAAAAAAAAACAAACAAAACAAAACAAGGTATGAAATCTGTTTTGTAAAATCAATTTTGTAAATTATGCAGATTTTTAAGGTCCACTCTTTGTCACCTGCAGTTTTAAAAGTGATTGGTGAAAATGTTCATCCTGTTCCTTCTTAACTGGACTTAAACAGTATGAAAGGTGTCCAGTAACAAGTCCAGTGTCTTAGTTGTTGCTAGAACTGCAATCTTCTGGACAGAGACCTCTAATGTTGTGCTTAGAATCTGGTGAAGTCTCTCTCCCAGTTTGGGGGTTACAGCTTCTGATGTAGCTATTACCACTGGGATCACTTTGGACTTTACCTTTCACATGTGTTCCTACTGTCTGCTCTATCAACCACAAGCTGATGCTTTGGCAGTCTGGTGGGTTTTCCAATGCTCTTCTGAGCATTGCAAAACGGTCATGGTCACGTGCTGACTTATATACCTAATCGGCTTGGTTGCTATAATGCCTGATAGGAGTTTGTGTTCTGTGGAGAGGCAGGTAATTGGCTGTTACCTGCCTTGTGGGGATCCTTCATGATCAGGATTGTTCTGCCTTGTCTGGATGAATACCTGCTTTTAGCAGTCCCTCATTTGTGCTGCCAGGTAATCATGGATAGCCAAATCCTCATAAGAACAAAGGGCAAATATATCTTCCAATTTAACTTTTTTCATGATTTGTATGTCGACTACTGGGGCCATAAATGAACAGGCTGGATCTCAGGAGGAGATAGCTTTTTCATAGGCAGGGCTTTTGCCGGTTCCCAGTACTGTCCAGTTCTTCATTCCAGAAATTGGATGTCTGTCTTTGTGAAGTTGACTGGTTCTTGCTCTGGGAGGTTGCTGAGGTGTGCTCTTAGGTCCAATAGCCACTTGCAACTCTTTTTCCCACATATTCTTCAAAATTGTTCCGTTTCAGCTCCGGATCGTTTTCAGTTGGTTTGATACCTTGTGTTTGGCCATAATCTTTAACCTCCGCTCGTTAGATGCATTGGTCACTGCATTGCTTTCTTCTGTCAGGGCAGGCTTATTATGTCCATACTGCTCGCTATTGTTCCCAGTGTGCTATCGCCTCTCAATGTCCAGCTTTGTAGTGTTCTTTCAATGATGTTATTACACAGAGTTAATAGGTGCTTCTTGTTCAAGGTGGATGTTGGGTTTCAACTCATCCACAGTTCTCACATGCATTGCATGTAATCGCTCTCATTACTATACTTCATATATACTTTATATGTAATGTTTGATTATATACTGATTTATTCCCAAATTGTCTGCCTTTGTTGGCATAATTACATAGGTCCCTGCTGCTTTATTCCTATTCGTTATCTGCAAAACAAATTAAACATAACAACAGGTACCTCTAATGTTCAGCTTGAGAGGCAGGCTTTAATACATTCAGTTTAGTTTAATGAGTCATTATAAACTATTAAAAACTAAAGTCACTAATTTTTGTTTTGAAAGTACACAGAATATTTAAATATATTTAATGACACCACTTACAAAGTTCAAATAGTCTGCTTATGTTGTATAACATTACCGGCAAGTGCAGACCTGCTAACAGATCATCCTAGCAGGATTTTACATGGCAGTGTCAAATGTTCTACATAGACTGATTGGGCTTTAGACTGACGAGTAAACCTGACAAAACTCTCGAGATTAAAGCTATGATGACACTGATGAATGAAGACTGGAAACACAGATGAATAGAGATCTAAAACCTTCAATCACCGGCTGCAGAATGACAGTACTTCCCTATTTAACACTTTTATTCTCAAGAGAATACCAAGGGCAATTTGGCTCAATAGCCTGAGCTCTTGAAGATGGATGCACATTTAGATCCTACCATACTTTACTCAAGTATTTAGTACAATTTATAGTCTGAATAATGTCAACCAATGAGTTTCTTTTAATGGCAGGAATTTCTGAATCACGGGAAACACTGTAATGTAGCTGTGTTGTCAAGGTTCTCCATAAAACCATCATGACGATGCTATTAATCCAAGCAAATTTAGTATAATTAAGTTGGCACAAAATGCATAGCATCTTGACAAGTCTGTTAATCTTAGTAATTAAGAAAAGAAGTAAGTGTTGTTCATTCAGCATCATATTCGGTCAGTGGCATATCTGATTACATGAAAAACTGATTTTCAAGTGCAGTTTGTCTCTGAACATTCCTACAAAACAAAAGAGAAATATTTCGAATTATATACAGTGCTGTGCAACATTCTTCAGGCACATTTTTTATTATTTTATATATAAGTGTCTGGACTTCTTTAAAATTTCTTGAAGATGTTTCACCTCTCAACCTCTTATCTGAGAAGCTTCTTCAGTTGGTGGAGAGTCCCAGTTTTTTAAGTCCTGTTGGGAGTGTCCCTAAGAGGATCCTGGACCCCCTATTGTTCCTCTGCCTAATCACACAAGCAAAGGTGTGAAAACAGGTGTGGGTCACAATCAGCCAAAGTTTTGGGTGAACCTGTTGTGAGACCTTGCCCCACCTTATCATGTGACTTACTGAGAACAAATGACCTAAGATGTGAGTGGGCGTTAAGGTGTCTGGGAAGGGATCTCAAAACTGGATTATAGATGGCAGACAGTTGGTGTCTTAAGCCACCGCCTCTGTTCGAAGATGGTCGTTCACAGTGGGCATAGATGGCTTTTTCACTCCTCTTTCAAACCCTCTGTCTTCTCTGTCCAAGAAGTGGACATTGGCATTCTCAAAAAAAAGTGACCTTTGTCCTTTAGATGCAGGTGTACAGCTCCAGATGCTCTTCTTTCCAAGCTCCTTAAACTACGATGACCTGGATGACTGAGAAGCCTCACAGATATGCTTCTTATATGGTAAATGGCCTGCATTTGTATAGCGCTTTTCTAGTCCCTAAGGACCCCAAAGCGCTTCACACTACATTCAGTCATTCACACATTCACACACTGGCGATAGCAAGCTACATTGTAGCCACAGCTGGCCTGGGGCGCACTGACAGAGGCGAGGCTGCCGGACACTGGCGCCACCGGGCCCTCTGACCACCACCAGTAGGCAAACATGGGGTTAGTATCTTGCCCAAGGATATTTGGCATGCAGCCAGAGAGGCTGGGGTGGCCTTATAGTTTATTAAACTGTGAATACGTATAAAAACACACCTAATTCGTGTCTTCACACAACTTAACATAGAAACTATTTTAAATTGTATCTTTTGGTACCTTGTTACAACAGTTGTCACAAAAACACAATTTGTTCTCCTTTCTTTAGTTGGCATGTGGTTAAAATTGATAGAATTATGAATGCAGAAGAGTCCAGCCAGATTTTAGTGGATCATGCAATACCATCTGGAAAGCATCTAACTGGCAACAGTGTCATTTTTCCAGCACAACAGTGATCCCATACATGTTATTAATGCAACAAAAGTGTATCCTGCTCAAAAAATATAAAATAATTTGTGGCTTTGCCTCTTCAAAGTCCAGACCTCATCATGGCAGACAACATCCAGAGAATTGTATTGTATGCCCTTTAACAAGACTGGAGAACTATGCCTGAAAACTGCTTACAGAAATTACAAGAAACCTTGCTTAAGAGAGTTCAGGCTGTACTGGAGTTACTTATACCATCTGGTTACACCAAATATTAACCTTTTGAATTATACTCTCATGTTTTAATAAGTCAGTGCAGAAAAATTTCCCATTTTTCTGCAGAATATAAAGAAATGAGAGGTTACTCAAGACTTTTGTGTAGTACTGTGGAGATATATGTTTTTGATTTAAATACAACCGCTTCCTGGGGCATTAAAAACAAAGGTTTTCCAGACAATTTCCACTGTGTGCAAAATATTTGTGGCAGTTTAACTTGAAAGAAACCTGAGAATGGCTTACCCTTTGATAAATCACATCACTTTTCCCACTACTGAGATATAACAAAACTGATAAAACTGAACTGTGATTAAACATCATGTGCAGAAATATATGTCTACAGGATCTACTTTTTAATCCTGAAGAGTTTAACTTTACCTGACTGGGCTGCTGCTGGCATCCAAATCCTGTGCAGTCACTGCTCCGATGATGGTCCCCGCAGGTGTGTCCTCATACACATCCATCACATAGGAGGGCTTATTGAACACTGGAGGCTCATCCACATCCAAAACGTTAATCTTCACTGTTGCTGTGTCTTTGAAGGCCCCAGAGCTCTGAAATCTTGGATCCAGGTGAGCGTTGGAAGCATCTACCTTAAAGGTATATGCCTTCTTTGTTTCATAGTCCAGAGGCTGAGTGAGGGGGAAAAAAAGAAGCAATATTTACCTCCAACTTGTTTGCAAATCATAATTGTGTCATGTGTTCGCACTTCTGATCTAATGCACTTTTGGTGTAGTGTTCATCATATACGTGCTAAGAGCTCTTGAGGAAAATGCTGCAACTCGATATCAGCATCGCTGTTGACAGCAGTTTCCTCTCACTTCATTTTTGTTATATTATCATTTTCAAGCATGAATAACTGCTATCAAATGTCAACATCAGTCTTCACATTCAATAAAAAAACAGCATTACGTGTTATTTCCTGTATTTATTCAGTTGGGCAAAACACATTCAAGCGGCATTGTTCACACCTGCCTGCAAAGAAAAGCTGAAAAATGCTTGTGAAAAAAGCAACAACTGATATGATATGAAGGATAATGATTGTGTGTATGCTTGTTGTTTACATGACAGGTCAATTGGCAGTTAATAGTACAGTAGCACCAAGTTCATGAGACATATTGCAGGTCCTGACCAGGTCAACGTTTCCCCCCCTCAGGGTGATAAAGTCAAGCAGCACTTATTTGGTTCAGCAGGACTTCACCCCACATACAAGAGTTCTCAAACAATAGCTTCAGAGTTCATATGTTCTTCCTACTTGAGCGTCTGACATATCAGCTCAGGGTCAATTAGTGAAAAGCGAGGTGTGGAATGAGCGGCCACGGCATGTCTGCGAATGAGGTGTACACATCCGACAGCAGTGACACCCGTGTTCGTGCTTCTGCCTGTCTCCTGCCCTCTCATGTGTGACCAACCGTACTTGGCGAGCTTGCAGTCGGTCACGCTCTACTGGCCGGGAGTCACATGAGAGACATTCCTTTCTGTGTATTTCAAATTGACTAACATGTAACCACCTATGGCAGCAATGCTATCTCCCTGCCTCAGGTCTTTGGCTTCTCTGGCCTGCTGTTTCAGAAGACACCAAGTGAAAACAGCTGGTAATAGGGCTGCAAAATGTTCTTATGTGAAGAGACAGAGGCTGTGAGGGAGTAGGTACGCTGGAGGATGCCTAAAATTGAGGATTTTTTCCTTTTTTTTGCCATGCGAAATGAATATGACTAAATCATCTGTCCAAATTAAATGCACATGAATTAGCGATGTAATTAGAGTCCAACCACTAGAAATAATCAGAGGCTGTGCAGTCATGATTTCACAGCGATAACAGATGCTCCTCAAGCCCTCTGTCTCTCTTCCATCTCCACGGCTTCATAGTCTTGCACTTACAGCAGGTGTCCATAAAAAGAAAAAAAAAAGAAAAAAGCGAGCGAGAGCGCTATGTGAAGGCAAGCCAATCTGAAAGCAATCATTGACCATCAACCACCGTGATTGGTTTGATTACAGTGCACCAGATGCAACTGGCTAGGCACAGCTATACGATTCTTTAACAGGAAATACACTCTGTCCCTTTCAATCACTCTCAAGAGGTGACAACATCAAGGGAAGACCAAGCTCCCTGAAGCAACAGTCTGGTGTAAAAACTGAATTAATTGTGGGTGTCAGTCAAATTCTGATCGCCGCAATCAAGCGAGAAGAGTTTCCCCAAAGTTACACCGACACCTGCAAAGTAGTCTAAAATGTACAACAGTCAGTGTTTACTGAGCTTCCTGCTGTGAATTCCTGGAAACCTGCATCAAAAGGAATTCTCTGTGCTTTTGTTTCCTAAAAAGTATGTTTGAGAGAACTGAAATAACTGCTCCAATAAGATATTTAAAACAGCTCTCATTACCTGGATTTATTTGATTCAAACCCCGCATAAACAAAGCAAAATGAATAACATGCTAATAATAGGCCCTCTGGCATAGTACATCATACTGTGCCTGGACCGGCATCTGTAGACAGCCATGCATAGTTCAACAGTAATACTTGCACAGGTGGAGAAGGAGGAGGGAAGGCGGTGGTGGGGTTGTGGACAGCAGGAGGTGTACGCCCGGCCTCATTAGCCAGAATCTCACTGGGGATAGGGAGAAGCTCTGCTTTCCATCTCAACATGCTGCATCACTACAATTAGGATACAGGCCCAAAATCTCACCCTTTATAACTGTCTAATTTTCTTGTAATCCGCAGCTAGCCGAGGACAGTCTTGTGGGATGCGATGAGGAAATGCTCCTTTCACACACCGACTTTGCCACAGTTTTGACACAAATCTCCTAGCAAGCGCAGCTGGTGTCTTGGAGCTCCAGCTGACAAATGACTTTGCATAAATAATGCCTGAAAACAGTTGAGCATGAGCAATGCTATTTAATTGCATGTGGATTCAGGCATTTTAAATGTGACTGTTTTAATAAGGCACTCTTAAACTGCAGCAACGCTTAGCCAATTTTGTCAGTCTCAAAAAGTTACCTATATCTTAAAACTGCTGGTTGGCTTATTCGTCATTACTACATATTTGTCACATATGAGTTATGATTCACATATTCTTGTTTCTTCTTTGCTTCTGCAGTTATACTCTCTGCATTTGCATATTTGCAAATGTTTTAACATTTCTCACAAGCCACTAACTACAAGGTGCTCTGAAATCAATGCATTCACATTCACCCTCCCATTCACAACAGCTTTGTTTGACAACAATTCCTGCTTATTAAGATGTCCCAGGTTTTTTGCCAACAAATTAATAGTATGGTGCATTTCTTTGAAAGATGTGTGTCTTTTCTTAATTATGAAACACTCACCTTTGTTAGCTGAAACAGCCAATGTGGCAACTAGAAAGTGTTTTAAATGCAGTGTTGGGAAGGTTATTTTTAAAATGTATTCCATTACAGAATACAGAATACATGCCCCAAAATGTATTCTGTAACGTATTCCGTTACTTTACTCAATGAGAGTAACGTATTCTGAATACTTTGGATTACTTAATATATTATCATGCTGTTTACAACTACATGAATGTGATTTATTACTGTTACTGAAGGTCTGCGGCTCCGAAACGTAGTAAAGGGACCTCTGGCTAATACGGTGGGTTCTGTGTCG